ACCAACAACTACCATGTACTACCAATGCTTATCTACTACCAACAACTACCATCTACTACCAACTACTACCATCTACTACCAACAACTGCCATCTACTACCAATGCTTATCAGCTACCAACAACTACCATCTACTACCAACTACTACCATCTACTACCATCTACTACCAACTACTACCATCTACTACCAACAACTACTGTCTACTACAACTACTACCATCTACTACCAACTACTACCATCTACTACCAACAACTACCATCTACTACCAACTACTACCATATATTACCAACAACTACCATCTACTACCAACTACTACCATCTACTACCAACAACTACCATCTACTACCAACGCTTATCTACTACTAACAACTACCATCTACTACCAATGCTTATCTACTACCATCTACTACCAACAACTACTGTCTACTACCAACTACTACCATCTACTACCAACTACTACCATCTACTACCAACAACTACCATCTACTACCAACTACTACCATATATTACCAACAACTACCATCTACTACCAACTACTACCATCTACTACCAACAACTACCATCTACTACCAACAATTACCATCTACTACCAACAACTACCAACTACTACCATCTACTACCATCTACTACCAACAACTATCATCTACTACCATCTACTACCAACAACTACCAACAACCACCATCTACTACCAACTACTACCATCTACTACCAACAACTATCTACTACCAACAACTACCATCTTCTACCACCTACTACCATCTACTACCAATGATGGTAGTAGATGGTAGTAGGTGGCAGTTGGTACCACCTACTACCATCCACAACCAGCTACTACCCACAAGTACCATCTACTACCAGCTAACAACCAGTTACTACCAGCCTCAGGTCAGTATCCGAACTAGCTGCGGCAGCCATCTTGAATTTGGATGACTGATGTTTATCAAGCTACAGTTCTGTTGAGAAAATATTTAGCTCTGTTTAGCTTTTAGCTACTGTTCTGCTTCTTTTAGGAACTGGGTTTCAGCTCCTTTAGTTCTTAAATTTCTGCAGCTGAAACAGTGTTTTGTTGTGTGTCATGTTTCCAGCAGGTCTGATGAAGCTTCAGTCAGCAGCTGAAAACAAAGCCTGAGCTGAGAATAAAGCCTGACAGCTGCTCTGAAACATGAAGCCCTGTTAAAGATCGACACATGGAGGAGGAAAAGCTTCAGCACCATGTTTGTTCTTCAGGCTTCAGCAGCTTCATGTGACCTTTTTTCTGTAGAAAAACAGGAAGTGATGTTTCAGAGCCCGCAGGCCTCTTCTATCAGAACTTCCTCATTCCTCCTCTTCCTCCTCAAACATTTGTTTTCAGGCGGAGTGAGAAAAACTGCTGCTCTGAAACACACCTGGTGACATGTGGGACAGAAGATGGATCACCTGCTGAAGAGAATCCAGGTGTTTTAGACATTTTCATTCAGAAACATGACGTCTCATCAAACAATCAGATAAAAGCTGAAGGAAAAACTATAAAATGATAAAAAGCTGAACAGATACAGAATGAAATGCTCGCCCATCAGGCAGAGCTCAGGCAGTTTGGTGTTTGCCAAGGTTGTTTAGCTGTGGTGGCCATCTTGAATTGTGTCAACTGTTATTTTCAGTTGTGTATGAAAAAAAGTCAATCTGTCATTAAACAGGAAGTGAAATGCATTGTGGGTAAATTCTGAGTGACAGTTGGGGAACTAAAAATCACACTTCCTATACTATACCGAAACATTCATATATATATAT